GCAGAAGGAGACATTTCTTGTGGCTATTTTCTTCTTCCTCTTGGAAAAACAGTTCTTCCTCTTCCCCATGTACTCCTTGCGTAGACAGCTGGCAACAATGATGGGCTTCTGTGAATGATAAGTAAGTTGTATCAGACTGTAATTCTCCTCATTAAGTTTTTAAATGATGATGATAAGGATGAAGATGAGGATGAGGATGATGTATTTGGTACAAGGTCCCTCTATGCAGCTCAGATGTGTAGGTATCCTCCTGTTTTCAGCTTCCCCAGTACTGGGATTACAGGTACGTAACACCACGCCCAGTCTCAGTCACCATCTCAGTGTGCCCCAGGGGCGGGGCCAGCACAGCTCTCCACCTGCCTAAGCAAGTGCTTTAGTCTGCTGAGCTATCTGGCTGGCCCTCTTCACCATTAACTTTTACATAAGCTCTTTCTTCCCATTGCTCTGGCCTTCTGCTGCCAAGCCTTGTATCAAGAGAATCCCACTACCAGGAGGTACGCTCACTGGCCATTCTTCTGTCCTATGCTTATATTTGGAGGGAAGGCTCTGACATCTTGCCTCCTACAAAGGCGTTCCCCCAGACCCATGGGAGAGCACTGACATATCATCAAAGTCCAGGTGGTGGCCTGGAGTTGACTCTGAATTTTGTACTGCGACATGTGCTGCATTATTCAGTGTCTGGAAGTCTTCCCTGGATTTTGTAATTGCAATTGCACTTTGTGTTTTTGTTCTAAGAAATACAAGGAATGTTAATTTGACCTGTAACCTGCCCATTTAGATGTTAAAAATGGTTAATGGTATTAAATAATATTAAAAATGGTAAAAATGGTAGTAATTCTCATCTGGAAGGATGAAAACAACTCAAATTCATTATGGAATCAGTCTGGTAAGCTGACCCAACTCACTGAAAAACATTTGCATTATTTGATGAAATAACCACTTCGTATGGTTTACCTCCTCAAAATTGGTGGAATTCAAGGCATCGGCTGTTTTCATCCTTTCTATTTGAACATCCTCATCTTCCCCTTCCGGCTCTTCTGGATTTTGACACATAGCATTTTTTCGAGGAGAGATTCTAGAGACAAAACCGTGAAGAATTTAGTTTTGGCTTTCCTACTTGCATAAACATTGTCTTCTTTACATTTTAGGCATGAGCGCGTTGCACCGTTAATAAATCCTCATAATCTCCCTGCAGTGCGGGGAGCGCTTCGCCCTCTGCGCCTTCCTTGTTGCTGCCAACAACACCGCTGTTTAGCGCTGCGCGTTACTTCCCTTGTGTCTTCCATTCCTCTGCAATGTCAGCAATCAATTGGAACCTGTGCTCTGACTAACGTTTTCTTATATCATAGCTCATGGCAGTATTTGCTTTTCCCCCTGGAAATCTTAGCTTTGACACCAATAGGTTGGTAGTATGATGCTCTTATAGGAAAAATGAGACAAAGTCTATAACGTCAGGAGTTATACAGATAATGCAAGTTAATTTCTGGTCAATCATTCATCCCATTTTTCTTGAATCTCTGTCAGATTTACTGTTTCTCCCTGCCATAAATCTGGTCCATCATACCTCGAAACATCTCTGTCCAGGCTGTTTCCTGGACTTCATGCAGATCCAAGAAAGGTCTGCTTCCTTTGGGCAGCCTCCCCTTCCGCTATACACAATAATGCGAGATGGCATTGATGAGGTATTGTGAACGTAAAGAACAAACCATCATAGTGGCTGCATCCTGGAAAGCTTGAGATAATTCTAGGCTGGTAGAATTACCCCCCCATCTCTGACCCCATCTCTGACCGAAGCAGCCTATGGCCTGCTGAGCGGGCTTCCCACTGCCACAGACCAGGAACAGCGTCACTCCTGCTGATCTATTCATTGTTCCAGTCCTTCTTCCTAGGTGTGCTGCATTCCTTCAGCGATTCCTCACTCAACTCAATTTTCAACTTTCCTCAGAGCTTCTCTGCATACAATGTCAGACAAAGGCCTCTCTAGTCAAGATTTCAGATCTGTTCCCTCTGCCGGATTATAATTTCTCTTGGCTTAGGTATTTGCATCTTTTACTCATATTAGAACATTGTTCTTACCCCAACCTGTTCTAGAACATGACACATTTTTATTAATGGATTGGTTCATGCATAAATGAAAGATTTTCAACTCTTGCCCAATTAAATAAAAGAATGCAATTTGACTTCTTCCAACCTAAACAGTGGATCCTTTCTCATTGGTTTCTTTCCAAACTTCCATTCTAGACATCGAAGAAGAAAAAGAAAAATGATACAGTGAAGGTAAGGCTAGGAATAAAGAGAGAGAAACATAATTAGAAAAACCAAAAGATAATTGTGTAGTAGCAGAGAATAACTACGAGTAAGGGGATTTTACAAAAATATATTCAGTGAAATCATTGCAAAGCTCGACTATCCTATTTGATGCAATTCATTTTCAATCTTGTTTACAGAAACACTGGAAACAACTATGATTATGTGATGTGATTAATTTACATCGTTTCCTCTCCTAATGTGTTTCTAAAATTGCTTGGTCATTGATCTTTTTTTTTTTCCTTTTTTCTTTTTTTTTCAAAGTTTTATTGATAAACAGATAGCAATGAGACAGTTTCAAATCAAATCGGAAGTACAGTTTCAACAAATAATACACTGCATATATTCTTCTTAGTGGTTAATTGCTGTACAAGATGCGGACAAAGAACTGAGCTATGGCCAGGCCCCCATCATTGATCTTTATAAAAATGATTATCCCAGATTTTAAAAACATTGTAAGTCCATTAACTATAGATATCTGTATCTTACCTTCATGCAATGCCTGCCAGGGTGTGTATGTATTAAAATCGTTGAGTATAGTAAAAACAAGATAGAAGAAAACAAAACCTCTATGAGTTTTAAAGAAAAATGCAGACTTACAACTAGCAACACCAGAAACTGCTCTCTGTTCTCTGGTCCTTCGCCAGAAATAGACAATCTGCCGAACTGCAGAGGGAAGGAAGGTAGTGAATGGGAAAGCCTTTTGTTTCATGAATTCAATCCACATAGCTAGGAAACGACCCATACATCGGCGCTGACATTTCCCCAGATTTCTGCTGTGAGTTTCAAGGATGTGAGCTTTCCAAATGCAGAGCCTAGGGCTGGCTTCCTTCTGCCCAGAAGCTGGGAGTCTTTATGTGAAGCAGAAGGATTTCTCCATCTTTGACACCCCATGAGAGAACCTGGGGGATCAGCTTCCCATGCTTTGCTGTGTCCCTTCTTGCTCAGTGTCCCTTCTGGATCTTTCCCTGGCCCACAGATACTTGTCTTCCTGTAATGTCCTTTCTCTCCTCTTGTAGAAGTATAGCTGAAATCTATGCAGACTAAAAGTACTTTGCTCATATCAGGCGTCTCTAATTCCCTGAATCTTAAAGACTAAGGGCATGATTTTTGTGCCTTATAAAGAGAGGCATGCCTAGGCATGTACAAGCTGCAGGGCGGTGGTGAAGGCTGCTGCGTTTCCCACCTCCTAGCTCTCTTTCTCTCCAGATGTGAACCAGGGCACATTTTCTATCAGAGGCCAGCTGAAGCACAGTGGCCCTTCTGGAAGATTCCAGCTGGCATTCCCATGGTGGAAGGTTTCAAATTTCATGCATGTTCAGCATACTGAGGTCCTGACACGGGGCAAAGCTTTCACAATTGGTTATGATTCCAGGACAACGAAACAGACAGTGGCATTACTTACAGAAATAGATAACAAAGCGACAACCAGTGTGGCTTGTGGTACTAAAAAAATGATGCCGTATGGTGTAGTTTGTCCAAAGAAATCCAACAGATAGAATAAAATCACAGAGAATGTGGTGACCTAAAGGAAACACAAATCTCTGTGTTAATTGCTCTGAATTTCACCCTAGGTTCCCACTTGAATGGCTCCTTTTGAAGATGCATATATTCTAATTTTTTTTTTTTTTTTTGAACCGGGAATTGTACTCAGGCCTTTGCATTTGCCAGGCAAGCACTTATTCTACTGAGCCATCTCCCTGGCCCATATTCTAAATTTTGATTCCAGCCTCATATCCAAACTGAGGTCAATGCATGTCTAACTACTTTCTCTTAGAGACTTAGTAAAAAATTATTTTTGGTCTAAAGCATCACACATGAGACATCACTGGATAAACCTAGAATCTGATTTGTAAACTTTTAATCATAGAAAGGGAAAACAAATTTGGTAGGTTTTCTTTCCTGGTAGCATCATTCAGAATGAGCAATAATGAAGGAAAAATTGAAATTGAACTAAAGAGAAAAAACCAACCGACAATTAAATGAGATTTTGGCTCATTATGTCAATGGAGAACAATACGCACTTGGCAACTTAGAGTGACTTAAACAGAAATACTAAAATGCAAAAATTCATGGACAGGAGAAAGTTATGGGCCCATTGAAAGCCCTCAGACTGTCTTCTAAAGTCTTGTAGTAATTTCCTATAAGTTTTTGAACTTTTAATTTCTTTGTTTTATAAATCACCATTAAAAAATTAAATTTTTTATTCATTTTAATGAGAAAAAAGATAAAATAGCAATGGAACAGTTTCAAAACAGGTTAATAGGATACCTACAATAATTAATACATTGCATATTGTCTTCATAGTAGCTATTCAGAGGACAAGATGCAGACATGATATCTTATCTTATTAATACAAACCTTTCTTCTCATTGAATTAAGAAAAAGTAGCTGTATATGTATCATTATATGTATATGTATCATTTCACTACAAAATGGACCACCCATCTCTGACAAAACAAAATAAAAAGGGGGATATAAACCACCATTTTAAAAAAGCTGTTGGATGAGCTTCCCAAAAGCTCATCTCTAACACTTGTTTTCAACACTATAGGTTCTGTGGCTGTCTTCAGCATGCAGAATAAATTATTAACTAATTAATTAATTTGCTATGGGGTCTTGTTATACAGGCAGACTTATATTGACCCTCCTATTCCAGCCTCCCCAGCACTGAGATTACAGGTGTGTGTCACCAAGCCAGGCTTCGGTGGCCAGCCCAGAGCAGCACCGGCATGGCATACAGTACTGGGGATCAAACCCAGGTCCTTGCACTTGCCAGGCAGGTGCTTAGACCTCTGAACTATATCTCCAGCCCTAGAATAAATTTTTGAGCACATGCATTAAAGCCAGCCAGCGGGCCAGCCAAATAGCTCAGCGGATTAAAGCACCTGCAAGCAGGCACAGGGGCTGGGGGCTCAACCCCTAAGCCTGCCATGCCGGCCCCGCCTCTGGGGCATGCTGAGATGGCAATTGAGGCTGGGCCTGGTGGCACGTGCCTGTAATTTCAGCACTTGGGAGGCTGTAAATAGGCAAATCAATACTAGTCTGATCTAGTAGTGAGACCCTGAACACCCTGTAGATCCTTCCTTAAAATACAGAGAAAAAAGAAGCCAGCCGGAATGTCAGCCAATATTTTCACTGTGACGACGACCTGCCCAAGCTGTCGTGTATTTCCTGTCCCTATTCACAGCACCTTACTACCAGTTCTTGGCATGAGCCTGGACTCTGTCTTCTGCATCTCTCTATTCATCCGTTATTCTAGTCACCTCACCATGCTTCTCTGTACGTTGAGATCTGACTGCTCTGGTGTCACTTTGTAAAGGCAATCTTTGCCTCTTTCCGCAGCTGGCTCCCTTCTGATTTCACAGAGCTCTTTATGTGAGGTAGCTTCTAAGCTGGAACGTTGTGATTACTTTTCATTGTGTAGGCTAAATGGAGAATAACGGTGAGTCATCTTCTTTGTCATGATGCTTTAATAAGTAGTTGTTTATTGCCTGTTTATCCTTTCAGAGGCAACGAACTCATGTTTTTCTCTAGTTTGTTAGTCTTCATTTGAGACAAACTGTATCTATCAGTCAGTAATTAATAATTCACTCTTTTGGCATCTTGAAATCACAGGATGAAATTAGAATTCACACTCACAAATTACAGGTTTCCCTTTTAATTTATAAAAAAGAAATGCGTCCTTATGGAATTTGTTCTCGGAAGAGCATTTGGAGAAGTAAACTTTAGCTTTTTGTGTTAGTAATATAATTTGGAAATGCATAAACTCTGGAGGCCTTTGGCTTTATTTCTTTTTAATAAAACAAGATGTAGACGATCTGCAGGCCTCTTCTAGCTCAGCATTTTATAGTTCTAGAAAAACATGGTTATTTTTAAAGAACATAAACAGAAAAATATGATAAAGACAAGGTGAAAATGGAAAATATTTCTGACCACAGCACTGACTTGTAATTCTAATGAGGGAAAAAATTTAAAATACTAGCTCACAGTTGCTTATTGAATATGTAATAGCCCAAGAAATATACTCACAACATAAAAGCAAAATGACCAGATGCCACTATTTTTTCTTCCTTTACGGAAAATGAATGAAATCACGTACATCAGGAAGGTGAGTGACATGGTATACCCGACAGCACACGGGATCTGAAAAAATGGGAATTTTGACCTTAGTTATAGGCAAACGCAGCCTAAGGAAATATCCAGGCTCAAAAACATTGTCGTGGCTCAGGATTCTATAGTATTTAATTTATGAGAATGAACTATCAATGAAAAAAGTATCTTCAGATTTTCTCATGATATGGTACAAGGACATTCGATTTGTGAATATTGTCACTTACTTGAAGAGCATGTAAGATGACTGTAAACATGGCCTCGTGGAAGTTTAAAACATAGTCCATGAAGTACATAAAAAGGAAGATGGACATGTACAGGGGGACGTCCACCAGCGCCTGCCCGAGCCAGTAGGCAGAGGGGAAGAGCCCCGAGATCCGAAGCTGCGACCGCGCTTTGCTCTGGGCAGGAGACAGCAGAGACAGAGAGTGGTTTTTTCATTTTGAATTTTAAGAAAATGTGGATTAAGTCAGTAAATATTCAACAGAATCTTTATTTGTGATGATTGTGGATTCGAGCTACAAGTGCTAGCCAACGTCCAGTCCTCGGTAAGGGTGAGTTAGGGAATCCCCATAGCTAGCAAAGCCTGAGCATGGTGGAGAATGAGGTGGTGATCTCGTGGTGGGTGCGGGTGGGACTGA